TACCACTTGAGCCACAGCGCCACTTCCGGCTTTTTTCTTTTTGCTTATGTGGTGCTGAGGAATCGAACCCAGGGCCTCAGGCATGCAAGGCAATCGCTCTACCACTGAGCCACCTTCCCAGCCCTTATATGTGCTTTTTTTGGTGCCAGTACTGGGGCTTGAACTCAGGGCCTGAGCACTATCTCTTAGCTTTTTCACTCAAAGCTAGCACTCTGTTATTTGTGCCACGGCTCCATTTCTGTGCTTTTGCTGGTTAATTGGAGATTAGGGTATCAAGGATTTTCTTGCCCAGACCAGCTTTAACAGTGATCCTCAGATCTCAGCCCTCTGAGTAGCTACAAATACTGGTATGAACCACTGGCATCCGGTGATTTATTTTTAATTTTTATTTTGATTACAGTCTTACCAATTTCCCAACGCAGTCTGTTAGTGGGGATTACAGGGAGGTGCTACTACTCCAAGTGTGTTATGCTCTTTGAGGTTATTTTATTTTTTTTTGATGGTATTGGGATTTGAGCTCAAGACCTTGTGCTGGCTAGGCACATACTCTAGTACTTGAGCAATTCTCCTAGTACCTTTCCCCCCACCCCCTCCATATTGGAGTCTGAATGCAGGGCCTGAGGTTTTGTGCTCAAGGTTAGTGCTCTACCCTTTGAGCTATAGCTCTACTTCCAGTTTTTTGGTAGTTAATTAGAGATAAAAGTCTATGGACTTTCCTGCCTGTACTGGCTTTGAACCAGGAGCCTCACATCTCAGCCTCCTAAGTAGCTAGGATTATAGGCGTGAACTACTAATGCCCATACCCTGTACTTTGAGTTGGTTAATTTTGAGAGAGTCTTACTTTATGCCTGGGTTGGCTTGATTATAATCCTCCTATCTGTGTTTCCCATGTAGGTAGGATGACAGTGCCTAGCCACTGGTTAATTGAATTTGAGTCTCATGTTTTTTATTTTTGGCCAGGGCTTTACTTAAACTATATTCCCTCAATCTCCACCACTCAAGCAGCTAAGACTACAGACTTGAGCAACTGTTCCCAGCTTCTTGAAGTTACTGAAACTCATGACCTTATGGTCTCTGGAGAGTAAAACCTAAACAGTTACCCCAGGTTTTGGGGAGCTTCTGGGGCTCTAGGACAGCAAAGATAGGCAAACATTTAGGCTGAGATCAAAGGCATGGTAAAGTACAGCCTCCAGGCCACCAGGCAGACAGTGGAAATCCTTGAGAGGAGGGGAAAGTGCTAAACACGCCTATGTGACCTATATCCGTAGGGCCAGTTGGCTATGGTTGAGCCAGCTGCTCAGCTCTACCTCACTCGTCTCTTGCTCTATACTATGTCCTATGTAGCCCTCAGTGCCCACTTGCACATCCTCTGCCTCCAGGGTGGAGTCTTAACACTAATCCTGCTCACATGATCCTTGAACTCAGAATCCTTCTTTTCTCCATCTTCTCTAGTCCCTGTCAGCAGGCTCCAAAGATATCAAGATTCCTAGCCATAATCTTTCTCTTGATTGAAGACATGGACTTTGGATTTCTTTCTTTTTCTTTGGTGGGGGTGGGGGGAAGGGTGGTGGTGGTTGTTTCCTTTTTTGTGTTGCTGGTACTGAGGTTTGAACTCAGGGCCTAGGTGCTATGCTTTAGCTTTTCTGCTCAGAGCTGGCACTGTACCACCTAAGCCACAGCTCCACTTCTGTTTTTTTTGGTGGTTAATTGGAGATAAGCATCTGTCTCATGGATTTTTCTTGCCTGGCTAGCTTCAAACCATAATCCTCAGAGTTAGGTTTACAGGTATGATGCTGGCCCTTTGAGTTTCTTTGGAGTGGCCAAATCACAGACACACCTTCTGCCTTGCAGAGGTCTCTGGCTCTGGATGACAAAGTTGGGCGGACAGAAGTGAGAAATGGTTCTATGGGGGCTTCCTTGGGCTCTGAGGGTAAAGGGTAGGTGGGGTTTAGAGAAAAGCCTGAGGGTGTAAAGAGCACAGAGATAGGTTCTTCCCCTTCTGTTGGTGTCCTGGAAGCAACCTCTCTGGTAGGCTTGGACCAAGGTCTAAAATGTTAAGATGTTGGGCATGCGCCCTGCCTACTCTGCAGGCCCAGTGGGAAGGACGGCTTGAGCCTAGAAGTTTGGGCCCAACTTGGATAACACTGTAAGACTCCATATCTCAATAAAACAAAACAAAAAGGCTAACAATCCCCCCCAAAGTAACAGTGGGTAGCAGAAATATAGTTATTTTTTTTTTTTAATGCTGGACCTGGGCTTGAACTCAGGGCCTGGGCTTTATTTGCTCAAGGCTAGTGCTCTGCCACTTAAGCTATAGCTCCACTTTTGGCTTTTTGGTGGTGGCTTGGAGATCAGAGTCATATGGAGTTTCTTGCCCAGAATGGCTTTAAACTGTAATCTTCAGACCTTAGCCTCCTGAGTAGCTAGAATTACAGGTATGAGCTACCAACCCCTGGCTTTGGACTGTGTTTTAAGTCAGTTTTGGGGAAAGAGTTTTGGAAGAATTTCCACCTAACCTTTTTTTTGTGTGTGTGTGTGTGTCAGTTGTGGAGCTTGAACTCTGGGCCTGGGCGCTATCCCTCAGTTCTTCAGCTCAAGGCTAGTGCTCTACCACTTAAGCCACAGAACCATTTCTGGTTTTCCTGGTGGTTTACTGGAGATAAGAGTGGCATGGATTTTCATGCACAGGCTGGCTTTGAACCACGATCCTCAGATCTCAGCCTCCTGAGTAGCTAGGATTACAGGTGTAAGCCAACAGCGCCTGGCTTCCACCTGACATGTTTTGAAAGATCACTCCCAGGGCTGTGTGGCCAATTTGCCAAGGTAAGTTCTAACTTTTAACCAGGCCTAGTGCTTTCCTTCATGCTCGTTAGAGTCAGCTTGTGGAACCTTCCCACCAATCCTCAGGAGCATGATGTCACAGAAGGGAAAAACAGGGCTCCATGTGGCCTGGTAGAAAGGATGAAACAAGAGGTTGTATCCAAGCGGCATTTAGGCCACACAGAGACTTGAAGGTCTATGCTGCTGTCAGGATCCAAGCCAGCAGTGGAGATGGCTCAGTTGCACTGAAAACAACAAGGAGAAAAATGGATGGATTCCTGAGATAGCGAGGCAGTGAGACAGTCTCGATGCTGGGTGGGGTTTGGGTGGCTTAGGGTGCATGAACTGTGCTTGGCACACACTGCCTGGAGGAAGAAGTAGATTACAGAGGCTCTACAGCTCTCAGTCTTACCTAGGTTGTTGTCAATCTTCTGGTGATAGGCTCGAAGGTGTGGATTCTTTGGGTAAGTCTCGTTACTCACAGAACCAGGCCCTTCAAGGACAGCATCTGAGTTTAAAAAGAAACACCAGAAGAATGATTAACTGATATCCCTTGAAATGTTGCTTCATGAAACTGATTGTGTATGTGTGTGTTGGGGGGGGGTCCTGAGGCTAGAATTTAAGAGTATTGTGTGGGGCACTGGTGGCTCTCAGGAGGCTGAGATCTGAGGATCATGGTTTAAAGCCCCATATGACTCTTATCTTCAATAAACCACCAGAAAACCAGAAGTGGTGCTGTGGCTCAAGTGGTAGAGCACTAGCCTTGAGCTGAAGACACCCAGGCCTAGAGTTCAAGCCCCATGACCGACAAAAAAAAAAAATAAAGTGTTGTGTATACTAGCAAGCATTCCACCTTAGCTACACCTCCAGCCTCATCACAACATTGATATTTGTTTTTAGTTTGTGTGTGTGTGTGAGAGAGAGAGAAGAGTACTGGGGCTTGAACTCAAGGCCTAGGTGCTGCTCCTGAGTGTTTTCGCTCAAGACTAGAGCTCTATCACTTGATCTACAGCTCCTAGATTTTTGGTGGTTAACTGGAGATAAGAGTTTCACATGCTTGGGCTGGGAAGGTGGCTCAGTGGTAGAGCACTTGCCTTGCAATGCATGAGGCCCTGGGTTTGATTCCTCAGCACCACATAAGCAAAAAGAAAAAAGCCGGAAGTGGCGCTGTGGCTCAAGTCGTAGAGTGCTAGCCTTGAG